GAACATATTTGTGTTTAATTATGGACACGTATGTTGTTGATTTTCAGGTGTCTAGCCGATCCCTTCCATACATATTGTGATTTCGCGTTTCTTTTGTGTGTCTCCATATTTTTGTAAAATTTCAACTTGTGAAGTTTGACTGCATTCAAGTTTCATATAAAGAAACTATTTCAATTGAACTTCTTAAATTATCTTCGAATCAAATGGTGACTTACCGAAATATTTAAAAGTCTTTATTAATTCTAAAACTCATTAACGTTAGTTTGCCTTTTTATCTCCTTAGATCTATTAATGCTATATTAATTCTAGATATAATGAGGTCATTTCTGATTCTAAGGTCATTAAATATACATAGAACTCAAAACTTAAATTTACATAAGAAGGACCCCTGTAAAGTAGTTCCTCCTCAATTCCCCATAATAATTTTTATTAATTTTGCATGGAATGAAGTAGAATACCTGTTATTATGAATACCGTAAACTCTCCCCTTCTTGATCATGTAAATTATGTTGATCTTATAACTCAACACCCCCCCCCCCCGGGGGGGGGGAATAAATCGGATTATTTTTGATACTCTCCAATATAATTATTATATATCATATTTTTGTGGAAAATTTGCTCAAATTAGACGTATCTAATTTTAGTATTGATTTAAAAATAAATTTTATTCATATATAGAAACAGAATAAAAAAAATTGTATTATAGCTAAATTTAATTATAATAAAATTTGGTATTTTAATAAACATATTTAATTATTTCTTTTTCCTTCTTATTTAAAGACGCATATACTGTTTAGTGCATGTATTTTTGCGTATTAAGTTATAAATTTATGATTTTCGGTCAATGAAGCAAAACTAAATTACACATAATTCAATTTTTATAAATATAAATTTTTAAAGAGATATAAATCCGATAGAATATTCCTAATCATACTTACTGTTTTATTATAATTAATTTTCATGTTGCTGAAATCTACATAATATAATATTATAATATAAAAACTTTTTAACTAAATTTTTTATCCATAATTCATGATTTTTACATTTCTAAGTTTATTGCTTATTTTATGTGCCGATATATAATAATTTGAATAAACTCATTTACTTATGTACGATAAATTATACAAACGAATTCATATTATAAAAGTTTTGATATAAAGTAATTTGGCATTTAATAAATTTTGACATATTCTTATTATATTACATACAGAAATTTTGTTTAAGTTTCTTGCAAGTGATACTGAATTCTATTACATAATTCTGAATTCTTTTACAAGATATTATATTGCATAATTAAAAGAATATAAAGAAATGCTTATTTGGAAGAGTCATATAAATCTACTTTAATAATATTATAAGTTTTTTGTTGGCGAAAGTTTACCGAAGAAGCCCAATAATAGTCTTTAGGGTTCATATCAAGGACTTTCTCGGACGCATTGATGTTAATCTCCATTGATTCCTTATCTTCAATTGGTAGTGAACATGTTGAAATAGATGTGTTACGAGAATAAGTTAATAAAACGTTGTCACTTTCATGTGCTGGAATGCTTTTATCGGGAGAATGAATACTATATTCTGTGGCCGAAGAGATATCAGAATTACAATCTGATTCGTAAGAGAGATCATCCTTTTCATGGTCTTCTTCTGGTTCTTCGTAATAAACGCCATCAAAGTTTTTAAAGTACAATGTCTCAGGATCAAATTCTTCGTTATTGGATATTTCGCTTGCTTTTGAGAATGGATTATCGTAAATCCAATAAATTTGAAAATTATGTGTTGGTTCAGAGAAAATGGAGAAAGTTTTGGTAATTGCCATTTTTCAAGAATAATTTTTTATTTACAATAAAATGTTTTTCGGTATTTACAAAGTTTTTCGGAAGAAGTTGGGAAATATAAGATTCGTGAAGGTAACTACCTAATTTTATAGATTTTGTTCGCTATTAAGACTTTATACATATACGAAACGGCTATTGTTTGGTTACATGCGGTATGTCATAAAAATGAGTCACAACTATTGTTTATTTATAACGCTTGATCTTGTTAATAGACGTGCAGAAATCAATACCATTACGTATGTAAATCATTCCTTGTAACAAAGTGGTACAGCTTGTGAAAGTTTTAATCAGCGGAATCGCCACACAATGGGATTTGCAAAATCATTTTGAATCGCCACACAATGGTTCTGCAAATCATTTTTTGCCTGTGCCACTTTTTTAATCAATACATGTATGTAAACAATGTAGATGATTTATGATTCATAAACTGGAATCACAAGACAAAATTTATTTTGTTGTTGACTTAAAATGTAAATACATGTATTGAGAATTGAAGAATTTTACCCTAAATATAATTCGTCTTACATTATCATCCTGATGCCTCGAATGCCAGGGACTAACTAAATTTGTTAAAAAAGCATTGATTAAGAATATTATTAACTACAAAGAATTTCGCATTCGCTATATCGGGAGGGATTGTTTAAATATTAAGCGAAGTATTGATAATATTGCATGTCTGTTGTGGGAATCATTTACATAGTTTTATATTTAACAAATTTATTAAGTTAATCCTTTGTGTTTCTGGATGCTATTGAAAATTTAAATTTATCTTTTCATAAACTTATATACTGTAGCAGTCAAAAGTATTTGACCTCTTATAACTTTTATATTAAAAATTTTTTGTTTGAATTTTTGAAATAATTAAAAATTGCTATATTAAAATTTAAGTAATTTTGTACTGATAACAAAAAATTTGATATAATTTAATAAGCCAGTTATTAAAAAATTAAATTTTAAATTTGGTATTACATTATTTTTTTTATATACAGTCTGAAAAAAAACTTGCTCTCTTTAAATTTCATCATAATTTAAGGAAAAATTATTTAAATAATATGAAAATTTATTATATGTTTTAATATTTATAGAGAAATTCACTCAAGCTTATTTACTAAATAATATTGTATCATTATTTGTAATTAATTTTTTTTATTAACAAAATTAATTTATAAAAAATAATTATAAAATATTATATATTTAATATATAAAAAATTTTACTTATTGAAATTATTTTTTAAAAATTTTTGAATTTAAATTCAAATTTATAAAAAATATAATAATGACCAAGAATAATATATTAGAAAGTTAATTTTATTAATAAATATGATAAAAACTAAAACTTTTGCTTTATATTTATAATATTATGAATTGATACAAAAAGATTTATACCTTAATATAAAAATCAATAATTACTTCTAATAAAAATTATTCAAATTTTAACTAATCTTTATATTTTTTATATTAAATAAAAAATAATCTAAATTAACTTTTTATATTATTTTAACTATTCTATTATACTTTAATTCAATAATAAATAAAGTATTACTTTGCTAAAAATAATTAAAATAAAATTATTTTTTTTAAAAAAAAAGATATTTTAAATATTGTTACTATTAATTTATAATATTAGAACTTCAAATTATACAAGCAAATTATTCTAGATTTAATAAATATATATTTTAGATTTCATAAAATTGAATTAGTAGTTATAAAAATATTAAGATTCAAAGTTAAGTAATTAAATTATTTACTATATAATATTTTAATCAAATTTTATATAGTAAAATTTAAGAAATAATGATTTAAAAAAGTTATTATTAGTAAAATTTTTTTTTATAAAAGATATATAACAAAAATTTTTGTATTTAAATAAATCTCAATATGTATGGAAGGGATCGGCTAGACACCTGAAAATCAACAACATACGTGTCCATAATTAAACACAAATATGTTC